ACCTTCACATCGTCACCCCTGCCTTCCCCCTCCCTCACCCTCACGGACCCTGCTACACCCATACCTCCTCCAGGCTGGCCTTAGGGAACCGCTGCCTTAGTGTGAGACCAGTCTCCCCTGATCCTTTCTGACCTCCCAGCCCCGCCCACTCTGCCCTCTATCTTGTGACTCAGATGGACCTCCACCGATCCAGAGGTGGAGGGGGCGCAAGGGGCTGGCCCCTCGTGCCCGCTGTGCCCCAGCCCCCCACACTGACCTCCCCCCACTCTCCCTGCAGACCCTGGGCTGGGACGCCCTGCTGGCCCGGCGCCTGCCGCCGCCCTTCGTGCCCACGCTGTCAGGCCGCACAGATGTCAGCAACTTTGATGAGGAGTTCACCGGGGAGGCCCCCACGCTGAGCCCGGCCCGGGACTCGAGGCCCCTCACGGCCGCGGAGCAGGCGGCCTTCCGGGACTTCGACTTCGTGGCCGGGGGCTGTTAGCCTGCTCCCCTGCCCTTGCTCCCACCCAGCTGTTGTTAGTTTTTAAAAATGCCTTTGGGGTTTGCCCCCTCCATGCATCCCTGGCTCTTTTTGTTCACAGTAATGGGAATGGAGGGGCGTGATGAGAGGTGGGGAGAGTAGGGTGGGAAGATGCCTTGGGTTATGCTGGGGGGTAATTGGAAGGGAGTCAGGGGAGGATGGGAACTTGGGCTGTCACTATGGTAGGGAGCATGGACAGGCCTTGGAGGGAGGGGTTCAAGGCTGTGATGGGGCGTGGCTTGGGGGTACAGCCTTGGGGCTGTGTTAGGAGAGCTCAGAGCCCCCGTGGGCGAATGGCTGCGGGAGTCCGTCCTGGCAGCGGCAGGGCCAGAAGCGCTCCACCACCCTCACTGTTCCCACTCGAGCCTGGATCCTGGGGCTGCGGTCGCAGCACTCTGCGCATGCTCCTGCGGCTCCGGCTCCGGCTCCGCGTCAGGCGGCCTGGGCCCCCGCGTGGCCAGTTCCGGAACTGCACCGCCGGAGGAGCGCCCCGGGCCTCTGCCACCCGCCAGCGGCCAGACGCGTGCTGAAGCACCAACGGGACACACCGCCCTGGGCTGGTCCGCAAAATGGCTTTATTCCTCGAAGGCTCCGCGCTGCGGACCTTGCCCGGCATGGAGTGGTCTGGCTTAGTTGCTGGGCCTCCGGGTGTGCCTAGAAGTGGCTGAGGCCACTGTGCCGGGAGCTGCGCAGCGAGCTGGCCTCCCAGGTGCTTCTGGTTAGACCCAGCGCGGGGCTGCCCTTGGCGCCGGGCCTCCGGGGCAGGAGGCGAAGCAGTTGGCGCAGCACGGCTTGGCGCAGCAGGATATACACCCAGGGGTCCAGGATCTGGTTCCACGAGGCGAGGCGCACGGCCATAAACAGCGGCCGCTGCAGGGAGCTGGAGCCCCAGCCCCCAACGGCCAATACCACCAACACCTGCGGGAGAAGCCGCTGTGAGCGGTGGAGTGGTTGTCAGAAGGGGCCCAGCGATGGGTGGGGCTGGGATGGATGGGAGCTTGACTGGAAGGTAAGGGGGTTGTGAGCGTCACGGAGGAAAATGGGTGTCTTCGTGAAAAGGAGCTATGGAAAGATCGGCGAAGAAGCGGGGCCTCAAAGGACATGGAGAAGCAAAGGCCTTCATTGAGTGGGGCTCGGACTAGAAAGAAGAGAAATCCCAGGTGTCCCAAAGGGCAGAGGGCTGAAGGGAAGAAGAAAAACGGTGTGTGTTGGGGGGGGGGGGGCGGGGGGGGAGCCAGAGAATGGAGTGTCAGGGCCTAGAGGTGTGCGGCTGGGGAGGAAGCTTGTGGGGTTGGGGTGAACTACGAAGACCCCAAGAAGGAGTAAGATCAGGGGGCTTGGAGGAGGGGTGGACTTCAGGGAGAGGGCAAAGGGAGGGCTTTCTTGACAGGTGGGGCTTGAAGGGGGCGGGACTCTGGCTGGGGAAGAGAGAGAGGACAGGAATATCCTCGGATGGAAAAGGTAGTAGGGGCCCAGGCGGGAGCAGGAAGAACTTGGCTGAAGGGGCCGGTGCGCCCCTCACCAGCAGCGGGCTCCAGCAGATGCACGACACCACCATGATGCCCACGAGCTGGCCCACCATCTCCACGTCGTGGGCGCGGGCTCTACGCGTTGAGCCACGGCCCAGGATGCCGCTGGGGGCAGCGGAGGCCGAAGCGACGGAGGAGGCGGAGGAGGCGGAGGCCGAGCGGAGTCCGCGCCCACCCCATCGCCGGCGGCTGTCGGGGCCTGAGGTCCGGGATGGCGGTCGCGAGCGGCGTCGCCAGCGGGCGCGCAGCAGGGCCAGGCCGCTGAGCGTGTTGCACACGAGCGCGGCGAGCAGCGCGGCCCAGGCCGAGGGCCGGCGAAAAAGGCCGGCGAGCAGTGCTTGGCCCCAGCCGCCCCGCCGGCCCCAGGCCGATGAAGCACCACGTGCCGGGGTACTGCAGCTCGTAGCGGCCCACGCGCACCAGGGGCAGCAGAGCCACGGCCAATGGCCACGGCGGCCAGCGCGGCCAGCACAAGGCGAGCGCGGGCCACCGAGACGTGCGCGGCGTGCAGCAGGGGCCGCGTAACCCCCACACAGCGCTCCACCGCCATGCCACAGCCCAGCAGCAGTGGGCACAGGCCAAAGAAGACCATGCAGCCACCCAGAAAGTGGCAGGCGCCTCCGGCCGGCGGGCGCCCCGCGGCGTACAGGCGCAGCACCAGTGCCCCCGGGATCACATGGCCAGCCAGGTCGGTGGCCAGCAGGCTGGCGACGAACAGCAGGAAGGTGGCCGCCGAGCGGCGGCGCCGCATGCGACCCAAGGCCTGCGCAAGCAGCGCCAGTGCCAGCAAATTGGACACCGCGCCCAGCGTCATGGAGAAGATGGGCAGCGCTGGTGATGCGCCCCCGATGCCCGGCGGTGGCCCAGTGGATGCGTTGGGGGCCACAGGTGCAATACACGTGGTCGCCTCGCCCACCAGGCTCAGGTTGAGGGGCCCGTAGGGGTTCATGTCAGGTGCTGGGGGTGGGGCTGGGGAGAAGAGGAGGGCAAGTTGAGGCTGGCCCAGGGCACAGCGCCCACTGGGACCAGCTGATGGTCCCTTTTTGGGTCATTAGGGCCCAAGTGACCCCATGGCAACTCCAAAGACCCTGGTGCCCAGTTCCTGACTCCTCCTCTCCTCTTTCCCTCCCAGCTCTTGCTCCCAGCCCCACTCTGCCTCACTGCCTACTTCCCAGTTCACTGTGGCTGCCCTGGCCCCAGCCCCCTGGTCTATCATAGCCTCTGGGTCTCATAGACCCACCTCCCATTTATATCATAGCAAATTCCTGGTCCCCTGCCACATGATACTCACGGACCCATTTCTGATCCTAGGGCTCCACATGACCCCACTGCCCCATCTCGGACAGCCCTCATCATGTCATCTCTACTCCAATCCCATCTTTGATGCCCACAGCTCCACCTCTGCCACTGTGGGCCCATCTCTCTCCCCACTGCACTGTCTCTGTCGCCATGGCCCCATCTCTGTCCCCCACATTCCCATCTCTGAGCTCCATTGCTGTCTCCCTCTCACTCAGGCCCTACCCGACCACAGCTACCTCACCCAGGATGCCCCAGGGTTCCACTCCCGCCAGCTCCACGTCCCTGCCCCAGAGGCCTCAGGCTGACCCAGGACCACCCCTCCCTTGATATCCAGTGGTAAGGGCTGAGAGGGCATTACTGCCCCCTGGGCCAGAAGGGAAAGGAGAAGGGACAGATGGTTAAGAGCAACCAGGACAGATAGGGCTGAGAACACAGGATGAACAGGTAGAGGGAACCATGGCCCCATCCTTCTGTGCCCTCCAGCCCCACCTGAGATCCTTGCACCCCAGTCTTCTTACCTGGTGGTGCCTGGAACACCAGGTCCCCATTGCCTGCTTCTCAGTCCCCGCTGTCCGCTGCGCTCCAGCTCTCCGGCAGGCCGCTCCCTCCCTCCCTTCCTACAGGGGCGGCTCCTCGCCGGCTCCCTGCCTCCTCTGGCTGCCCACTCAGGCCTCCAGGGGCTGCTCCACCCAGCACCAGCCCATTGAGGGGCCTGGGGGGGGGCAGAGACCCCCCTCTCTGCACTCTGGCAATGGGTAGGGGCCACTTTGGGCCCCAGCTCTCCTTAGAGGAAGGGGGGCTCCCATGGAGCTGTCCTGCCCCCGCCCCGTGACCTCCTCCTCTTGGTAGGGCAGGAGCACCCCCCTTCCCCCCAGGCTTGGGCCTCTCGCCTGCCTCATTAATAAAGTGGATAAAATCTAAACACTGGAAAATGTGAGCGTCGCCAGGGGCCAGCTGGGGCGGCTGCAGGGGGTGCTGCTACACCCATGGGGGCTGCGAGGTTGGGGGGCTAGCCCTTGTGGGGGCAGCAGCACTCCTTTGCCTTGCCAGAGCCTTCATGGATGTTGGGTGGGTGGTGGTGGGCAGTGCCTTGGGTGGACTAGCTTGGGTCAGGCCCAGCCAGGCCAGGAGATCCGCCCACTATTTACACAGGGGTTTAGAGCCCAGGCCAGGGCAACAGGGAGTCAGATCCCTGGAGGGGAGGAGGACGAGGCCCAGTGACCAGGGGGCTGTCCTACTAGTAGATCCTGCTTCAGGATGTGGTGAGGGACACACCTGTGGACACACAGCTGCAGCCTCACCTCCTGCCCTGAGAAGTAGGGACACAGTCTCACACCTGAAGACACACTATCATATCCCCTAACACCCTGAGACCAGCCACCATCTTGGCCTGTCCCCAGCCAGCCACATTCCTCAGAGCCTTGGAGTCAGCCATCATCACACCCCTGAACTCACTAAGGCATTTGCACCCCCAGCACCAGAGACATCCCCATAGTAACTGACTCTAACACTGGCCACTTTTCTCAACACCCTGAAATACAGCCCCTGAGATCCTTCGCTGATATCACCCCCCAGCCATATCCATATCACTCAGATACCCCCTAACAGTCCAAGTCACACTCCACACCCGAAACACAAGGAGTTGCAACGCCCTGGACTCCCCGAGATCTTGCTGGTCACCCCCTACCCTGGAAATAGGAACATCTAGACCAGCCGTGGGCAAACTACGGCCCGAGGGCCGGATCCGGCCCGTTTGAAATGAATAAAACTAAAAAAAAAAAAAAGACCGTACCCTTTTATGTAATGATGTTTACTTTGAATTTATATTAGTTCACACAAACACTCCATCCATGCTTTTGTTCCGGCCCTCCGGTCCAGTTTAAGAACCCATTGTGGCCCTCGAGTCAAAAAGTTTGCCCACCCCTGAGCTAGACTCTCACATGCTCACAGTTCTAGTCACATACCCACGCTCTATGTAGACACTGCGATTTATACGCACAAACACCTCAATACAGTCACAAATCATCAACACAGATACACAGTCCTCTCAACACTGAGACACACCCTTTCAGTAGAAGGCTCCTAGTGGTACGGACACATGAAACACCTCCAGGTGCCCAGGAATGCACGGAGTAACCCCGGCAATTGCTACCCCTGCCCCACCAGAGAATACAGCCATGCACCCCCATCTCAGCAGCACTCCCACTTCCCCCACCTTGGAGGCCAATTGCCCACCCAGTGGAAATGGGGAGTGGACTGGGCTCACATTTCCCCCCTCGGCTCACTGCCCCCAACATTCCTGCAGGGACCTCCAGCCTAGCTGGCTCCCCTCCCTTCAATCCTGGCTCTTCCCTCCTGGTCTGGCCAGGGTCCCGCCCCACCCCCGTCCCAGATCCCCCTTAAATCCTTGAGGGTGAAGAGGGTTGTCAAAACAAGCAGGCCGGGTTTCTGTCCAGTGCACAGCATGGCCTGCCGTGGACACCCGCAGACCCTGCACGTCCAGTCAGGTGGTGTGTGGCGGCATCATGGCTGCTCCCTGAGCTTCAGGGATGGGCTCCTCCCCATAGCACTTGCCCCCGCCCCCAGCGGGCCTGAGGCCGGTTGAGCCCCCTCCCCGCCAGCTTTCTTTTTCCAAGCCAGGCTTCCACACCTCCTGGCCCCGGTGCTTCCCACCACCCTGGGCTGTAGCCAGCAGCCTTGTGCCCACTGTTCACATCAGGCTGGGGTGGCAGGAGGCACTGTTCAAAAGGGAGCAAGACTTGAACCCTCAGTAGGCCAAAAAGCTCAGGCCTTGCCTGGAAGCCTGGTGGCCCACAGCCAGAAGCCTCATCAGGCGGAACGGGTGGGAGGGGGCGGGCAGCCAGGGCCAGCTCCTAATTCAATTTGGAGCCAGGGGAGGATGGATTTCAGCTGCTACATTTTTTCCCAGCCTGGGCCCATCCCACACTCTCACTCCAAGGCCACCAGACAGGTCCAACAGCAGAGTCTTTATGTTCGACAGCAAATTCAGATACAAAAGCCCACTGCCATCATTCCTCATGCCCTGTCTGTCCAGGGCTGGGCTGAGGGAGACATAGGAGTGGGGTGGGGAGGTGGGGGTTCACAGCAGACTTGTGTTTCAAATGCAGAGGTAGGGAGCTCCTCTGGAGGAATGGCGGGAGGGGGGATTATTGCATTTGCTGGGGGGGACGCTCCCCCTTTTGAATTCCTTATGTCAGGAAACCAGGGAGGTCAGGACCCCCAAACAGAACCCGAGGCCGCAGGGAGACAGAGGGACCAGTTTGGCCGCTGATGTGGAAAGTGTTGCGGGCGGGGTCTGGCTGCCCAATCTGGCTGGTTTCTCCCAGAGCCTGATCTGGCTGAGGTAGGTGGGGAACAGGGTGGGAGTAGGGGGGTAGCTGGGGACCCCAGCCAGGCTGGGAATTAGGGAGGAGTGGTACCGATTGGAGTGGGGCAGAGGCTCAGCCCCACCTCCACGCCACATCCTGGGACTGCTGGGCCAGGGCCAGGCTGAGCCGGATGCCGGAGCCTGGGCGGTGGTACCCCCACCCCAGGGGCTCCCACCAGGCCCGGCTCAGGTCATCGCAAGGTCCAGTGGGAGTCCTAGTATCGGCCGACCTTGGCGTCCCCAATGGCACCCCAGACGTCAAAGACGAACTCATCAGGAAAGGCAAAGTCACCAAGCCGCTCATCCAGGGCCTCGGCCAGCTCGTCCGGATTCCTCTTGTCCTTCCCAAGCTCTACCATGGTGGCCGCTGGGGGTGGGGGAGCAGAATGGAGGTGGTCAGGGCAGACCCAGTCCACAGGACCTGGAAGCCTCCTCCCCCAGACTCCCACCCCTCCCAGATTCAAACGCCAAGCACTCACCCAGCTCTGTGTCCCTGATGCCCATGTAACTCTCCAGCAGGTCATCTACTTTCTCAATTGCCTTCTCCTCAAAGGCCGAGGGCTGGAGGTGGGGTGGGAGGAGGGACAGGGGCATCATAATAATGTAAACATAACTCTAATTGTATTTACTAAGTGCCAGGTCTCTTTTTGCCACTTTATCTATATTAACCCTCAGTTCATTCTCAGGACAACCCCGACATTATCAGTATTATTATCCCCCCATTTTACAGACAAGGAAACTAATAAGGCCAACAAGAAGGGTCCTGGAGCTGGGAGGAGGCAGAGGTGGGTTTGAATCCAGTGCCTGGAGCCCAGCTGGAACACTCACCAGATCCTCTACAGTGGCAGGGCCCCGGGATCGGAGCCGGAGAGTCCCTCTGCCAGTGCCCAGCTGGGGGCCGGAGCCAGGACGGCCACCTCCTGAACGCATGCTGATCATGTCTGCGGAAGGCAGGGGAGGTGTGAGAGTGGGGGAAGCCCAATTCCAGCATGTTCCGGACAGGAACCAAGACATCCTGGTCTTAGACACTCCCCTCTACCTTTCCAAGCTCCTGCAGGCTCCAGGGGCAGTTGGGGGCTGAGGTGATCCCAGGAGGGCAGGATTCCTGACAGACTTGGCATGGGTGGGAGAGGGGCAGCCAGGGGCTGGGAATGGAAACGGCTAAAAGGGACATTAAAGGGGACCACATCTCTCCCAGGGCCCAAGGGACAGGAAGGGGATGGGGCCTTGATCTCTAGCTACTCTCCCCAGGGTCATTGCGGGGAGGGAGGGAGGGGCATAATAGCTGCTGGGCCACGGACCAGCCCTAGCTGCTTGGGGAAGTGTTTCAGAGTCCCCCACCCCCACCTTAGGGGCCTGGAGCCCATTCCTGAGAGTTAGTGAAGCCAAACTGGAAAGTGGGGGGGGGCTGGCACAGGGCAGCCAAGCCTGGCTTATAGGGGCTGGGGGGGTTGGGGGAGCTGGCCAGGGTTGGGGGCGCTTGGCTGGGCTAATGGCTCCTGGAAGCTGGATGCGGGGGCAACTTCCTCCTCGTCCCCACCCTCCTCCCAGGCTGGGCGGAGGGCCAGCACCCCCATCCCCAAGGCAAGGCGGAGCTGTCCCTCTTTCCAATTAGGCCTGCTGGGCTTGGGGCGCCACCTTCTGGTGGCTCGTGGCACTGCAGCCAGGACCCAAGTATATTGGGTGGTCCAAGCAGCAGCTCCTCACCAAAAGCTTTGCGGGGCTCCGTGAGCTTCAGTGTGAAGGTGCGTCCTCGGGGCAGCTCCTTGAGCAGCCGGGCCACCTCGTAGTGCCGACAGCCCAGCAGGCTCTGCCCGTTGATGGCCTCGATCATGTCGCCCACGCTAATGAGCTGGATGTGGTCAATGACGCTGCCCTCCTTGATGCGCTGAAGAGAGAGGAGCTGTCAGCCCTGTGGCTCCGCCCCCAGACCTATGGCCACCCCCCCACACACACACACAACCCTCAGGCACCTTGATGAAGGCGTAGCCGGCCCCGTTGTCCGTGATAGTGAGGCCCAGCGCCTCTTCCGACTTGAACACCTCCACCTCCTTACGCTGCCCCTTGACATGGGCAAAGATGAAGTCCTCCAGCCCAATCTGGCCCCCCAGGAGCTTGTCCATGTCCACTTTGTGGGTGTTGAGGGTGCAGAACATCACCTGCAGAGGTAGGAGACACTTAGCTCTCACCTCCCTCCCTCGTCCTTCGAGGAAGAAGTAAAGAGATTCTGGAAAGGCCTGGGGGTCCCCACCCCAGTGCCTGACCACTCCAGGAGCCAGGGCAGGGCCCCACTGGGATGTCAGCTCAGCTAGGGCTGAAATTTCTGTCCTAGCAAAAATCTCCCTGCCGGTTCCAGGGCACAGAGCCCGGCCCACGGTGGGTGCGTAGTACATGCTTGTGGAATGCATGAAGGGCACAGACACCCACCCAGCCTACTGAGACCCCTGAGGCTACTTCTTGCTCAGTCCCTCCTGTCCTCTCTTTCCTTGTGCCCAAGTCCTTGGGGTCAGGCCTCTCTATGCATCGTGGAGAAGTGAATCTTGCACTGGACCTCCAGCCCCCACAATCCACTGGGGTGCAAGCCTCTCAATGCATGATGGGAATGTAGCATCCAGTCCTGGACATCAGTTCCCATAATCCACTCGGGCGTAGGTGTCCCAATACCTGATGAAAACTCAGCATCCTGCCCTGGCCTCCAGTTCCCCATAATTCCGTGTGGCATAGGCCTCCGCATCTGCGGCTTTGGCACTGAGCCACAGTTCAGGACCAGAATGCACGTCCAGGCCGCCAGCCCACCGTCAGAACCCCGGGACTCCCTGATGTGTACCTCGGCAGCTGGCAGCCGGAAGGCCTCCGCGATCTTGCCATACAGCTCCTTGACATTGGTAAAGCCCTCGATGCGACCAGTGGGACTGCCGTGGGCCAGCTGGGTGTGGAACACAAGGCGGGGCCGCAGGGCCGGGGGAGGGGGAGGCAAGCCCATTTGGGGCCCCCCTACCCCACCTCCACCCAGGGGCCCCGGGTCCTCCACACCCAGCCCACCACGGCCTGGCTCAGCTTCTTCATTTTCCACCAGAGGTGGCGCCTTTTTCCGCCGCCCCAGTCCCAGTGGCATGAGCAGCGGGAAGAGGGAGCACGCCCAGGAGATCTGCAGGGTGAGAAAGTGGGTTTAGGGCCTGCGCAGTGGCCCCAGGACATCGTTCCCCACCATTAGCATCTACAGGCCCAATGACAGAGAACAGAGTGGCCTCAGTTCAAATCCCTGGCCCCAGCACTTTCATACTCATACATAATATTAGCAGCTAATATCTATACAACCCCATGCTAACTGCTCCATGACCT